ACCATTCAGCGCTCAGCAAGTCCCTGCTTATGGATGGCTACAGAGTTTTTCATCACAACCCTGGTAGTAGTAACTTTTTTCACTGCCATGTTAAGATTGTCCTTTCCTCTAAAATTCTTGGTGTTGAGATCTTTTTAGGATCTGTGAGATTTTTCTAGCCACATTTATGTTTGAAGCACACATTAACTCTATTTCTTCAAATACCACTTCTTTAATAACTTAAAAATAATGGAACTAATGAAACAGCAGAGAATTTTTAAAAATTCTACTTCAAAAGCAAAAATAGTGCTTATTATAAGATTAACAGCTAGACATTTCTTGGAAGCTACACGTGTGAGTTTTTGCAATTTAATTCCCTATCCAAAGCAAAACAAAAATGGCAATCAAGAATACTCTCCATTTGATTATAAAAGTACCTAGAAACATATAAAATAAGAATTTATCTTACCATAGTAGTTTATAGAGGGGTTATGCAGATCATATTACTGTGTCAACTTCATCTAGGAGCAAATGTTTTCATCTCTGTATCCTTTAATGATTTATTTTTAGAAAAGCAGCACAAGCTCATATCATGCTTAACTATCTGAAGGACTTCTACAAATAGCAACATTTATACTCCATTGCTTATATTTTTGTGTTTGGAATTTAGAGTGCTAAAAATAACAACCATGGGCCCGGCCGTGTGGCCTAGCAGCTAAGGTCCTCGCCTTGAATCTGCCAGGATCCCATATGGGCGCCAGTTCCAATCCCGGCAGCTCTACTTCCCATCCAGCTCCCTGCTTGTGACTTGGGAAAGCAGTGGAGGATGGCCCAAAGCTTTGGGACCCTGCACCCGTGTGGGAAGAAGTTCTTGGATCCTGGCTTCTAATCGGCATAGCATTGGCCGTAGCGATCACTTGGGGAGTGAATCATCGGATGGAAGATCTTCCTCTCTGTGTCTCCTCCTCTCTGTATTCCTAACTTTCCAATAAAATAAACAAATCTTAAAATAAAATAAAAAATAATAAAAATAAAAACCAATTTTAACATAATAGACCCATTTACTAAACAGTTGCTTACATGAACTGTTTTATATTAAAGTAGCTGCTATATTCCAAGTGATGCACTTTTACTGCAGTTTTTAAATGGACCATTCATGAAGCAAATGGAGGACTCCTTTCTGTAACTTGTTAGGAGCCACAGACTTATGGGCCTTAGACTTGGCATGCCTGACAACCTACTTCACTGTAAAACCTTCCTTGGGCAAGCAGGGCCACAGCAAGCAAGGTATTGTGGCAAGAACACTCCATGCAAAACAAGCAGAACAGAACCTCCGTCCTTGTTCCTGTTCAAATAATTAGTTCCTTCCCTGTTTCAATGAAGATAATTAGTTTCAGGAAACCCCTTTCGTTCTCCTCCCCCCCTAGAGTAGGTATAAAGAGGTATAAGAAAGTATATATGAGGAATAAAATAAAGGGCATTGGCACTCTCTTTCACCAAGTACATGTGTCTGTGTGTTTCTTGGGCCAGCAGCCCGGGGGCTAGCAGCCCAGCATTCCCAGTCCACCCTCAGGGTTTGAGCATTGTGTCCTGCAGGTCGGGACAGTAACTGAAATGAATAAACAATACATATGCCTCATTTTCTTCAGGAAAGTAGTTTATGATGAACTAAATAGTTGAATGGTGTGGTGCAGAAATATAACTGAACTTATCAATGCAGAATCAAAGCATTGTTATACTTGTTTGTCTTCATGGGTGCGCTCCCCAGCAACAACATATTGTTGCAGTAATTCTCTCCTCAATTCTGTCCCGAAACACTCCCTAGACCATTGTTGATGTTAAGTAAGGAACACCTGAATTAATTAAGCTTCTTTCAGCTAATCACTGCTTTTTTGCTTTAATCAATAACTGCTTTGTTTTCCCTGGAAATTGACCAAAGATTTATCTACTATCTTTGTTTAAATCACTTCCTGATTTTTCTCCACGTAAATTCTCTTTGAGTGGACATATCATTCTCAGAGACCTTTATCTGCTTACAAGCAAGCTAGGGGGAGAATCAAGATGAAGGCAAAGGCTGCAGACACGTTCAAAATCACAGAGAATCATTAGACAGGGTAAAGAACAGAGGACAGAATACCAACAAAGACAGGGGTCAGGCTGTCAACAAGGAGGTACCTGGAGACCCCTGGACACAAGGAAGAGGCAAGAATGGCATAGCAGTGTTACAGAGAACAGAAAACCTATCAGCCACCCGTGAGCTGTGATCCAAATTCCAGCAACAACCAGGGATCCAGTGGTGGCCACAGATCAGCCCTTGCAGCAGCCAGGTGGGAGCCTGGGTTGGCACATGGGGAGCTCAGGAGGTGATGGCAGGCTGGGACTGGCCAATCCTGCTGAATACTTTGGCCCAACAATGAATGGGAAGGAGCTGCAGACTCCATAGGGCAGATTGGCGGTGGGTTGGAGATAACAGCACAGGGATCAAATGCCAGAGAGGACACATTTCTAGCTAGTCACATACAGCTGATCCCACAGGGAGGACAGCATCAGCTTCACACCTTGCAGGAACTGTGTGTTCCCAAGATCTGAAGGCCAACAACACTGGCTTTCAGGCAGGGCCTGACCAGGTGCCATCTTGTGGGTTTAGACAAGATCAGCACCAATGATAAACCAGTTATCTGGGACAGTTGGCATCTTCCTAACCCAGGACACTGATTGAACATAAAAACTGACTTGTAGACCTATAGGTAATACATCTTAGGAATCTGCACTAAGGAGAAAAATCCACCAAACCGATTGCAATGTCAAAAGTTAAAAGAAGTGACAGAGGCACAATGAATGTTAACGAAGACACCCTGGAAAAGGAGAAAAAGCCTCTACCACCCTCAGGGTCAATTGAGAAAGATGTTGAAAAACTGGGGGACACAGAATTTAGAAAATTTATTATAGAGCTTCTGGCCAACAATGAGAAGTACATAATATAAGAGGAAACAATTAAAAGAATTTGTCACACTAGATATGAATCAAATGAAAACTGATATTTCAGAAGTTAAGAATAGATTGGAGCAAATTAAAAGTACAGTGGAGAGTCTCAAAAATAGAATGAATGAAGCAGAAGAAAGAATATCAGAATTGGAAGATGTTTCTTGTCACCAGGGGGGAACAAACAAAAAGCTACAAGCCGAGTTGGAAAAACTAAAAAGCTATCCAAGAATTAAAACATACAAGTAAAGGCCCAACATTAGAACTATGGCAATTCCTGCAGGTGCTGAAAGAGAAAATGAGATTAAAGGTTTATTCAATGAAAAAAATAAACACAAACTTCCCTGATCTGAAGAATTGGAAAACAATATAAAGGAGGAGCACAGAACTCTCAACAGAGTTAACCAAAAGCAAACCTCACCAAGACACATGATAGTCAAGCTATCCTCAGTTGAACATAAGGATAAAAACCTTAAATGTGCAGGTGAGAAAAATCAAGTGATGTATAGAGGAGCTTCAATGAAACTCAAAGATGACCTTTCAGAGGAAACACACACTCTCCCTCAATAATTTATTTGCGTTCAAAATAAATTAAATACATATATATTAAACATATAAATATTTCTAAAAAAGACAAATTGTCAAGATGTTTGAAAATGATAGCCATGCATGGTAAATGAATGAACTCACATTTTAGTATTTATCCAATTCAGCCAGATTGATTGATTACTTTAAAAAATATTTTAGACTGGGCCCAAAGCAGTAGCCTAGTAGCTAAGTCCTCACCTTGAATGTGCTGGGATCACATATGGGCACAAATTCTAATCTCCACAGTTTTGCTTCCCATCTAGCTCCCTGCTTATTTCTTGGAAAAACAGTCGGGGATGGCACAAGTCTTTGGGACCTTCCAGCTACATGGGACACCTGGAAGAGGCTCTAGGTTTCTGCCTACGAATTTTATTTTAGATTTTGAAAACCAATGCTTTGAGAAACATTGCTACAAAGGACCACCCCCACAAGCATCAAGAGAGAAGCCGTGTAACTGTCCCTAATGAGATGCCTTTCAATATTGACAGCTATCCAGTGTTTCCCAGGGCAGAAGATTCAGAGGATCTGTGGCACTATGGGAACTGCTAATGTAGAGGAAACAGGGTGGAGGTGATGGGGCTGAGAGCAGTACACAACAATGGGCTATCATCTCCCTGTGGCACAGAGACCTGATAACCATCACAAGCACACATAGACACATTATAAGCATGTCTTGTCCCTCTCTGTCTTTAAGAAAAGCAGGTTAATGCTTATTGTTTTATAAAGCGATGCATAATTCCTAACAGACAACACATTTACATATACTACTTACAAGGAAAAATCCAAGTTTCAGTAAAAATTGCTATAGGTTCTTTCAATCACTGAAAATATCCATTTACAAATTCCACTTTTAATCTTTCTATGATACATTCTAAAGAAAAAGAAAGCCAACTGGTACATCTGTATACTATTTGCATGATATTTACATTTAGGTGACAATGAAAAAATGAGTCTTTAAATTTTTGGTATAAAAAATTTATTATTTTTAATTTTTGATGACATTTACATTTTGACCAGAGTAGGAACACTGTAGGACTAGGGAACTGTGAGTGAGACCATTATTTTCAATCTTCGTCATGAGAATGTTGGGGCCTCATGCAAATACTGGCGGAAAGCAGTTAGAAGTGCACAAACTTCATTCTTCAATTTAACTAAGGCATTGGCTACATGCTACGTAGTGCATTCTGCAGAAAAAGTTACCTCTTGCACTTGGTACTCAGAATTTTGGGTTTGATAGAGCCTTGTACCTAAAGATTAAGTAGTGAACGTGGTCAAGGCTGTCCCAGATGAGAAACATGCCAATGGGCTGCACACTAAACATTTGACTTACATCAACATCAGTCATGGCTTGCACTTTCATTTTTTAAAAAAATCTGAGTGCAGAGGTATAATGAGAAACAGAGCCAGACAAATATCTTCCATCCATTGGTTCACATTACAAATGGCTAAAGCAACAACTGAGCTGATATGAAGTCAGAATCCAGGAACTAGAAGTTCAAGCAAGGATACGAACTAGTGGTATTTATCTGGGAGGCCAGCACCTCAGATACAATCTTACTCTACAATGCTACAACACTAGCTCATTGTTAGGGTTGAAAGACTTAAGACCAAAGCTCATATGAGCAAAATGATTCATCTGGTGGCAAAAAACCTGCTTGTGAAGCCATGACACATGAAATCAGTGTGAATCTGAGCAGCAGTTCTGGCAGCTGACACACAAACTCCATTAGCCATCACCACATCCCAAGAATGTGATACCAGACAAATTTATGTGCCTGAGATATACCTGCAAGAGTATAGCAGCAGAGAAAGTGGCCAAAACTGATTCACATTTTCAAAGACATCACAAGAAAATCTCCACTCTGACGAAAGATACATTTTTCAAACCTGAGTATTTAGCATTACAGTTGTCACATGCCTCAAATAATAGTTGTGATTCCAATACTAGTCTGTAACAGGATGTAGGATGAGAGATTGTAAAAAAGCTATAACAGATCAGTGCAAATTAAAAAGATGGTACTTCAATCAAGTGTTATACAGTGATTATTCGATAACATTTTAAAATATGAAAGCAGAACTTATTCACATTTTTCACTCATATCAAAGGGACAACAAGTACAGATTGCATGTGAAATATCTTACAGCACCATGAAGCCTGTATACTGAAATAAAATGATACTACTCATAATTTTGCTGATGTGTAAATAAGAGCTGTACATCTGCAAAAGGTTTTTCAATACTGCTCATATTAAAAAGGTTACTCTGTTGTGTGAATTTTATGAGGTGATTAGATGTGACTTATGTCTAAAGAAAGGTAAGTGCTGGTAAATGGTTTTCCCAGACTCACCACATTTATGTTTTCATGTCTGAATTCTCTGGTGTCTAATCAAAGGCTTTTCAACATTCAACACATTTGTAAGGTTTGTGTGATTTCCAGTAAAATGCTTTACCACATTTACTACATTCCCAAAATTATTCCCTTGTGTGGATATTCTGATGTCTAACAAGAGATGACTGCTGCCAAAAGGCTTTCCCACAATAGTTGCACATATAAGGTTTTTCTCTTGTGTGGATCTTCTGAGGTTTGTTTAGGTATGACTTCTGAGCAAAAGCTTTTCCACACTGCCTACATTCATAAGGTTTTTCCCCTGCATGAATTGTCTGATGTGTAATGAGAGCTGACTGTGTGCAAAAGGCTTTTCCACACTGACTACATTCATAAGGTTTTTCCCGTGTGTGGATTTTCTCATGTTTGCTCAGCTTTGACTTCCGACAAAAAGCTTTCCCACAATCTTTACATTCATAAGGCTTTTCCCCTGTGTGAATTCTCTGATGTGAAATGAGAACTGACTTATAAGAAAAGGATTTCTTACATTCACTACATTCATACGGTTTTTCCCCGGTGTGGATTCTCTGATGCATGTTTAGGTTTGATTTACAGAAAAAAACTTTCCCACACACAATACATTCACAAGGATTTTGCCCTGTGTGGATTCCCTGATGTGTGATTAGGCGTGATTTCTGGGAAAAAGCTTTCCCACACTCACTACATTCATAAGGTTTTTCCCCTGTGTGGATTCTCTGATGTGTGATTAAATATGATTTTCGGTGAAAAGCTTTCCCACACTCACTACATTCATGAAGATTTTCCCCTGTATGGATTCTCTGATGTTTAAGGAGAGATGAGCGACCACAAAAGGCTTTTGGACACTCACTACATTTATAAGGCCTTTCCCCTGTGTGGATTCTCTGATGCATAATGAGATCTGATGGCATGTAAAAGGCTTTTCCACACTGAGGACACTGATAAGGTTTTTCCCCTGTGTGGATTTTGCGATGTCTAATTAGGTATGACTTCTGACAAAATGCTTTCCCACACTCACTACATTGATAAGGCTTTTCCCCTGTGTGGATTCTCTGATGTATTATGAGAGCTGACTTGTGGCAAAAGGCTTTCCCACACTCTTTACATTCATAAGGTTTTTCCCCTGTGTGGACTCTCTGATGTAGGATTAGATACGATTTCCAGCTAAAACCTTTCCCACAGTCACTACATTCATAAAGATCTTCCCCTGTGTGAATTCTCTGATGTCTATTGAGAGATGATTGGTCAGAAAAGGCTTTTGGACACTCACTGCATTCATAAGGTTTTTCTCCTGTGTGGATTCTCTGATGTGTAATCAGGTGTGATTTCTGGCAAAAAACTTTCTTACACTGACTACATTCATGAAGATTTTGCCCTGTGTGGATTCTGCGATGTTTAATGAGAGATGACTGCTGGCAAAAGGCTTTTGGACACTCACTACATTTATAAGGCCTTTCCCCTGTGTGGATTCTCTGATGTATAATGAGATCTGATGGCATGAAAAAGGCTTTTCCACACTGAGGACACTGATAAGGTTTTTCCCCTGTGTGGATTTTGCGATGTCTAATTAGGTATGACTTCTGACAAAATGCTTTCCCACACTCACTACATTGATAAGGCTTTTCCCCTGTGTGGATTCTCTGATGTATTATGAGGGCTGACTTGTGGCAAAAGGCTTTCCCACACTCTTTACATTCATAAGGTTTTTTTCCTGTGTGGACTCTCTGATGTAGGATTAGATATGATTTCCGGCTAAAACCTTTCCCACAGTCACTACATTCATAAAGATCTTCCCCTGTGTGAATTCTCTGATGTCTAATGAGAGATGATTGGTCAGAAAAGGCTTTTGGACACTCACTGCATTCATAAGGTTTTTCTCCTGTGTGGATTCTCTGATGTGTGATCAGGTGTGATTTCTGGCAAAAAACTTTCTTACACTGACTACATTCATGAAGATTTTGCCCTGTGTGGATTCTGCGATGTTTAATGAGAGATGACTGCTGGCAAAAGGCCTTTGGACACTCACTAAATTCATACGCTTTTCCCCCTGTGTGGATTCTCTGATGTGTAATGAGAGCTAACTTGTGGCAAAAGGCTTTTTCACAGTCACTACATCCATAAGGTTTTTCCCATGTGTGGATTTTGTGATGTTTGATTAGGTATGACTTCTGATGAAAAGTTTTCCCACTCTCAGGTACATTAGAGGCATGCTTTTTTCCAAATGTCATTGCATCAGGATTCCTAGGAAAAAGACACATTTTAAAATAAATGATGGTCTTTCCCTCTCGCCATTTAAGAAGCACCTCATTTCTGAGCTCTCTTCTGGGAGGTGGTTTGGCCCTTTCCTATTGTAAATACACTGGGTCACTTTCAGAGTAAAAGTCCTGTCTGCAACTGAATCCCATTTCTGTTTCCATGCTAAGTTGCAGAAAGCACCACTGAGCTTTCCTGTGTACATTTTCCCTGCCTCCCAACTGAAGATGAGTAAGATATCTGGGTCTTAGACCAGAACCATGTGGCTTGACTCAGCAAAGGGAAGACTTCACAAGGTCGGTATGCCTTTTGTCAAATGGTACTGAATCTATGGAAATGAATCGGCACCAGATGGTCAAGAATAAACATGGGCCCACCCACCCAACGCCTAGTTCTGGGTGCAATGAAAAGAGAGAAAGGAAAGGAAAAGAATTACATTTCTCAAGTTTCTTTGGTACCCTTTCCATTTCACATCATGTTTCAAGTATGGCCAGAGCTAAAATTAAGCATCTATGTAATGCAACTCGTTTTTGAGTTATTATATAATTTTTGTGATTACAACTTGCCTTAAGATTCCTTCTTGACTTTCCTGATTAGCTTCAAGCAGCTCATTCTTTTTGTAGGACTCTAAAATGAGGAAAAAAGAGTAACCATATCCATGAATCACAACTAAGTATTTCTGTTCAAATGCTCAAGTAAAGCTGATGAGGTTTTTTTGCAATTCTACAGAAGATTTTAACATCAGTAAAATGTGGACATTTAATACATTAATATAATAGCCTTTTTTTTTTGCATTTTCAATAACTTGGAATTTTTTATTTTATATTGATGGGGAAACAGCAGAAAACGTGATACAGAAATTCTAACTAAAGCTTGGAATGTCTTACATCCCATAATAGAACTACTTTGTCTCATCTTTGCTACTCTGCTTCCAATACAACTTCCTGAAAACATATCCTGGGAGGTGGCAGATGATGATTCAAGTGGTTGGGATCATGTAAGAGATCAATATGCAGTTCTAGATGTTTTACTTTAAGCTGGCAAATTTTAACAGCTGAAGGCACTGTTAGAATAAACCTAAACATGCAGACTATAGAATGCCTGTGTCTCATGCATGACATTAGCTGTCCTTTGGGAAGAAACTTTCCCAGCCAACATTTACTGAACTATGTTATCAACTTCCCTGCTCGTATGTGCTGACTTACCTGGAAGTCCCTGGTTTACAGAGTTTTCCAATGTCCAATGCACTGATTCTTGCTCCAACTTGAAGATCACATCAGGCTTTGCAATGTAGAACCCTGTTAAAGAGAAATAATGTAGACTGTGAAAGCACTAATTTGGGGACTTCAAGGAGAAAAGCGTGGTTCCAGGATTTTTGTCACAAATGGTCTAATAGGAATTATTCTCTGACAATCTGATAGATGTTCAGGTTCTTTACAGTCGTAAATACTAGTCCTATGAAGTCCTAAACTTTAAAAACTCTTTAGTTTGTCAACTGTACAGAAGATATTCTGCTTGGGCATGACAGAATTTCACTCACCCAAGGACAGCAGATTGCCATAGGTTTCAAGCATCACATCCTTGTACAGAGTTTTCTGAGCATTGTTCATGTGAAGCCATTCTTCCTGGGTGAAGTCCACAGCCACGTCTTCGAATGACAACAACATCTAGAAAAACATGTGTCTCCTCAGTCCTGGATCCTTACACGGAATGACTGGCAGTGCATTCTATATATGCTTAAGTTGCAACTTGTATGGACACAGCTGAATTTACAATCTATACAACATCACAGAGTAAAATGAAAATGAAAATATCTGCCCTGTATTATTCTGTAAGACAGTTCTCTCTAATGACTCTGATTCTAATTAACTGTTGAAGGCACTGGATATTATATTTGCCAGAAATATATACAGTCTTCAACAATATCTATAGTCTTTAAACACTAATACCAAAAAATGTAACCCATGTGAGAGTAATGTTCTGGATGGTCAGTATTTTGTATATCCTTTGTTTAAAGCTCTTGAGAAATATAAAGTAGGTTTTTTATTCTTTGTTACTATTATTATTTACTTGGCATGTCTTGATTTATCTAATGGAGTGTTATAATTGTGATTCTGAAATGAAATCAAAGTATGCGGTTTTAAAAAGTGGAGAGGAAGATGAATAGTTAATGCAGGCAGGAGAGAGGGTAGAAAAGGAAAATAAACTAAAATCTGTATTTTTGATATATGTAAAATTTGCTCACTACATACAAATGTTTGTATACGTATGTATGTATGTATGCACACTAGATAGAAACACTACATCATAACAGATGATGCCTCAGAATGACATAATTATGAAGTAAATGTGCCTGAAAACAAAGGCTCAAAAGACATGACACAAAGTACACAAAAGAAATGAAAAAATTACAAATAGTGTTAAAAAGTTTGTATGCATTTTACAGTAAATGAAAAACTGATAAAAATATCAATTACAAACATAAATGACAATATTTATACTTCACTCTGTGGATTATGACAAAACATATGCTGAACTAAAAGTCAAAAGTACAATTATTAAGGCCAGGGTGATAATGGTAGGCAAGGCAGAGCAGTTCAGGATGGCCCCAAGACTTGGGATCCTGTATCCACATGCAAGACCCAGGAAGCTCCTGGCTTCAGATCAGTTCAGCTCTGGCTGTTGCAGTCACTTGGGGATTGAACCAGCGAAAAAAGAATCTTTCTCTCTGTATCTCCCTCTATTATCTGCCTTTCCAAAATATGTATATATACACATATATATGTACATTTATACATATATTTAAATATTTTGCCGTTTAGATCTTTTTTAAGACAAATGAAGACTAGAAGATCTAAACGGCAAAATATTTATACATTATTTATACATTATTTATTACATACAATATTTATACATTATTATTCATTTGTCTTAAAATATATATGTATATGTATACATATATATGTATATGTATGGGTCATATGTATGACCCAAGGCCCTAGGCAGACATCCACTGCATTCCCAGGCCAAATTCAGGGAGGCTGATGGGAAGTGGGGCCACTGGGACACAAATTGGTGACCATATGGGATCGTGGCTCATGCAAGGCAAGGCAAGGACTTTAGCCACTAGACTATGGTGTGGGTACCATGTTCCACTTTGAATTCATTTTCCTGCTTTTGCCCTGAGAAGGCAACAGACGATGGCTCAACTCCTTGAACACCTCTGCCCATGAGTGAGGTCCGAAGTGGCTTCTGGTTTTGGCTTGCCTTGGCTGTTGCCATTGTAGCCATGTGGGGAGTAAAGTAACAGATGGAAGATCTCTATCTCTCTCACCTTTTTTCTACTGCTCTGCATTCAAATAGAAACCAAACATAATGCCACAAAGGACAGCTCTGTGGTTCAGTAGATAAAGCTACTGGCATCCCACATGGGCAATGGTTCATAGCCTGGATGCTCCACTTCTGACCCAACTCTCGATAACAGGCCTGGAAAGGAAGTGGAAGATGGATCAAGCATGTGGGTTCCTGTAACCAAGTCACAGACATGGACAAAACTTCTGGCTCATGGCTTCAGACTTGCTTACCTCTGGCCATTCCAATTATTGAGGAGTGACCAGCACATAGCAGATCTTTCTCCATCTCACCTTCTTTCTCAATAGCTCTGCTTTACAAATTAAAAAATCTTAAAGGAAAAGAAAGCACCCTGCAGTAGGAAATGGCATTGGCATTACGGCACTGCACATTCAGCTGCCATTAGCCCCATTTCCAATCCAGCTCTAAGCTACTGTACATTGGAATCAGTGACAGATGGCTCAAGTATTTGGGTGGGACACTCAGATGGACCTCCTACTTCTTCTCTTTGACATGGCCCAGCCCTGACCATTGGGACCACTTGGAGGTACAATCAGCACACAGCAGACAGGTCTCTGTCTCTCTCCTCTTTCTGTAACTCAGTCTTTTAAATAAGTAAATAAATGGGATTTATTTAAATATTTAACAAAAAAATGTAGCATATTTCATTCTCCACACATTCCTGTAGCAGCTCATGAATATACTATACCCTCCAAATGTTATTAGCCATCACACTATGTCAGCAATTCAAAAAAAAGCAAAAAAAGCCAAAAAAAAAAAAAAAAAAAAAAAAACCCACAATAATGAATATTACTACTCTAAATCAAATGTTTGAGTGTTTATTTTCAGGTTGGTACTCAGTCATTTTGATTGTATCATGTATAAGGTCTGCAAAAATCATTTTGAAGTTGATATCCCACAGTAATTAACGATTTTAGTTTCAAACTGAATCATGTACATTGAGGACCTGAGATAAGTGGGAGGCTGGGTGGGGCTTCTCCCTTTATCTCCACATTTACCCCAGATACAAAAAAAAAAAAAAAAGAGAATGTGGAAATGATAGCCTTATACACTTTCCTATAGCTCTTGAACCTTTGTGCCCTAATTAACCATGTAAAGATTGTCAAACATAAAGAAAAAAAAAACTGAATCATGTAAATAATATGTCTGTCTTATGGCATCAGAAAACGTGGAAAGTTTCATTCAGCTCTAACCGCCCCAATGTCTTAGTTATGACAATTTTACCTTCATTCCCTCTTGGATTTTCATTTGATTTTATGAAACATCAAAAAGCCCCTACAATACAATGTAAAAACAAGCTAAGAAGTAAACAGACAACTTACTGAAGGTGTGTTCGAAAGCATGTCTTGGAAGTAAGTGGTGGGCTGCAGGGCTACACCTGCAAGAGAAGGTGGGGAGAGGGAGTTAGGAATTGGTCTTGCTTGTTCCTAGTCCCCTTAGTGGCTCCTATTGTGCTAAGTAATGTCAAGACAGGAACCAGACACAATGGCTGGAGACACAAAAACCCTCACCTTCCCTGGGCAAGAACAGTGCTTTAAAGAGGACAGTGCCAGGAAGGCTTCCTTGAAACAGCATCAACCATTTCAATAATTGGCAGTGATTAATTAGGTTCTTCTTAGCTTAATTCAAACATTTACTACTTATTTAAAAACAATAATGTTACTGCCAAGCACGTACCTATTTTTCAACAACCATTGTTCAGATTACAACATATCACAGAAAAACATCAGTTACTAAAATTGATGCTACAGCCAAATAACTGGGTATTAAGTATTTTCCTAGTTCTACAGAGGAGCTGCAGAAGGATTTCCATTAGAACACTGCTTGCACTTACTACTAAAATTATGTAAAGGCAGAAATCTTTCAATCAGAGTAATTTTGTCTACACCTACATAGGAAATATAGATAAAAGTATTCTACACAGATTGTTAGTAATTATTCCAAATGAAAGTTCCTAAGTCTTCAATGACACTTCTCAGTTCAAAAACCCCCATGACACTTGACTTTGCCATTTTATTTGTCTTAGCCCACAGGACATCTATGAATATGGCAGCAACATTGTTTGAAAATATTTTGGGGCCCGATACAGTAGCCTAGTGGCTAAAGTCCTTGCCTTGCATGCGTCGGGATCCCATATGGGTGCCGCTTCTAATCCCAGCAGCCCCGCTTCCCATTCAGTTCCCTGCTTGTGGCCTGGGATAGATGTCAAGGATGGCCCAAAGCCTTGGGACCCTGCACATGCGTTGGAGGCCCAGAAGAGGCTCTGGACTCCTGGCTTTGGATCAGGAAGAAGCTCCGGAGCCTGTCTTCAATTGGCTCAGCTCCAGCCATTTCAGCCACTTGGGGAGTGAATCATTGGATGAAAGATTTTCCTCTCTGCATGTGTGACTTTACAATAAAAATAAATAAAAAAAAAAAAAATTAAAAAAAAATCTTTACCTCATGAAATAGTTATGTCAAAAGCCAGAGAAAAACATTACACTTAGAAGAGTGAATGTCATGATACATGAGGTTGGGCTACTGCTTGGGACAGATCATGCCTGACAACCAAACGCCTTGTCTATGCCTACTGGCTATTTATCACTTCCAATGCAGCATTCTGCTGTTGGGCCTGGAACACAGTGGGTGGGTTCCAGGACCCCCAGGGAAACCTAGATGGATTCCTGTTCCTGGCCTAAGCATGGCAGAGCCCTGACATCTTGGGCATGAATAAACTAGTGATGGAATATTCTCATCTCTCTGCAATCTATGCTTCAATTAAATATTGCATTTCTAAAATGATCACAAAACAATATACTGTATATAGAACTATATTTCAGGTTGATTAGTGGATATGTTGGTGAGTCATAAAGAATTACATTTCAAATTCAATTAGGAGAACTTTTCAAAGATATTTATTTCCTTTAATTGTTTTTATTTTTGATGATTTTTACATAGTTGACTAGAGTGATAAGGGTCAAGGATTATAGGAAGGTAGGTGAAACCAACATTTTCATATTCTCTTATTTTTCTTCCCTATATCTGAGGGGAGGAAAGAGACAGGAAAGAAGCACACTCAACCTCCAAACTGCCTCTGCACCCTAAGATGGAGGATAGCCACCCAACACCATCCCAGCACCCCTGAAGTGGGACATACTCCGAGGGTGCTAGGGTCCATGTGGTGGGTGTGGAAGACAGAAAGGTGTGAAGAGTATTGTCCCATTACAGGCAGGGCCGCAAGGAACTTCCCGCTGTGTGGCAGGGCCCGGTGGATGTCTCTACAATGAATGCACCTGAATGCATCACCTGAATGCAGCTCCACCTCCCTTTGCATGGACACCGGACAACCCCACTGAGTATTCTGTAATCTAGTTAGGCATTGTCTGCCTCTGTGGGAGTTGGTGTTTACTACCAATGTGAGCTTGGAAGTTGATGTTGCTTGATACCTTTTTAGCAAAAGGGCCTTTTATTATTGCTGTCTCAGCTGCCCCCATTGACCATATGCTAATCAAGGGTGTTAAGTCCCTAGGTGTAGTGGGAATCTATTCTTTCCCTCTTTCCTTGATCTTTAGGTCCCTCCTTCTGTGATGCATTTCCTCCCTTAACTGATTCAAGATCAAGTTGTAGGATGAGGATTGTAGTAGGAATGTGTTACTGATTGATATGCACCATCTATTGAGAACTTCCTGACCACAGGATCAGGATGGATAACATCCTGCTTTAAGGTGAAGCAAATGGCAGAATTATCCTTAGAAACACCCACTTGACCATGATGTAAACAGTCTGAGCCAGATTTTGACTGCTTCTGTATAAAGCGGACAGCTTTCTTGCATTGTCCATTATGATCATGAAATCGTAGTGGTCCATTTCTTTCCTCTTTATGCCTTATCCATGCACCCTTCGCGAGTTCTGAACTCAGCTGGAGCTGGACTCTGGAACAAGGGTCCTGCTCAAGAGGTTTTGCTAGTTCAACAATTCTGAATTACTGCCAATCTTGCCACTCCAATCACAACGAAATCTCTCTAGAATCCACTGGTTCACAGAGTTCACATTAGACTTTCCATTTGCCCAGTTCTTTACTGCCAACTCTTGGCTGGGGTAGTTGATCAATTTGTTCTGTTCTCTGTCCTCTACAGACTCCAATGTACTGTCATATCCTTCATGTGTACCTGGATATGCTGTTCACTGCTCCATCTAAGTCACTGAGGAGGCTCAGCCTTGACAATGCACTCTTTGGTCAGACCACAGAACCTGCAATTCTCTCCATGGCTGGGGTTCTGAGTCCAGCAATTCAGTTGGGGGGATCCCCAAAGAAACATCATCTGAGGTGATCCCAGATCTAACTCTTGTGTGTGCTTGCCAAATCAGTGTCTGGCACAGTCCGTTGCACACACTGGTAGTTGCAATTGCTGGGTCACTTCTGTCTCCATTCCTGATTTCTATGCAAACCAATGGGAGCTATAGCCTATTCAGAGTGATCTGCAATAACCCCCACAAGGCCCAACCCTGCCCTGGTTCCCATGCTTATCAGTATGTCAAACAGACTGGTCCAGTCTGTCCTACATCCCATTCAGCTCTCATACTTGACAATGGGCACTGAAACCTAGATCAACCCAACCAGCTCCACTATCCAGCCACACATGTGCCAGTGGGTGACACTCTGTCAAGCCATGCCTGTCCCAGTTCTGGTTTCATGATCACCAGGCAGAGTGGCAACCCAAGATGCAGGTGCCCACTGTTTCCCTACTGAGTCCACTCCCACTCACGGATCTTGCACTCTCCAGGTGGTTCTATAGTTTAAGTTGACAGAATTTACCCCACATGCCAGCATCTGCCAGCTAATGATGTGGCAAAATCCAACCAATTCTCACCCACTCTGGCGTATGCAGACAGCAGTAGGAATAGTCAATCTAGTCTGCCTTACCCCTGATCCAGCTCACATGAGGCCAACGGTTTGTAGCCCTGCCTGAGTTGGTCTGCCCCCATCAACTCATGCTTTCCAGTGTGACTGGTGATCCAGCAGGACAGTCCAATGCAGCCCCTTACCTGATCGTCCCCTTCCCCATTGGTCTCACCTGTGATGGTTGGGTACTGAGCCCCAGTCTGGCATGGCCAACCTCACCTTGACATTTGCCAGTAGGTGCTGTAGTCTAGCTCAGCCTAGCCAACCACCCAGTCCTGGCCCTCATGTGTACTGGCTTGTGTTGTGACCCAACCCAGCTGACACACATTCCATTCTGGTGCTCATTTTCACCATCGTGTGATATGAACTGGCTCAGCCTAGTTTGCCCCAGACTTGAGCTAAATGTATGCCTTTGGGTACCATTCCCTGGCCTGGTCTGGGCTGCTCTCTATCGTGCTTCCTGTGCTCACCTGCAGGAACTGTGTCCTGACAGAGGAGTTTCCCAAGCTCCTCCATCAGAACCTCTCCCAATGCCAGATCTCATGCACACCAGTGGGTCCACGGGTCAGTTCTACTTAGTCCACCTCTTGTCCTAGCAGGAACAGTGGCCTTTCCTGATCAGCCCTCACCTGCTCTACTTTTTACTCTTGGGTGTTACAGCCCAGCCAAGCCTGGTCCACATACAGACACAGCTCACACCTGGATCAGCAGGGGCAGACATCTAGCCTAGCCTGTCCCACACCTACCCTGGTTCTCACAAGCACTGTGGGTGCTAGAGTCTGGCCCAGCCTGGTACACCCCAGACCCAATCCACACTTGTGCTGAAAGACACTGTAACCATGTCCAGACCAGAGCGTAGACCCTACTCTGGCTTTTGTACTATCCAGTGAGAACCACATCCCAGCTAGTGTGTCCCCTTTGCTTCCCAACCAGGCTTGTTCCCAGCTATAGATCTTGTGTGTGCCAGTGGTTGCTCTAACCCAGCTTAACATAGTCCCTTACCTGTCTTGACCTTTGCCTTTGGATGCTGTAGCCTGGCCTGTCCCAGCCTGCCCCCAGTCTGAACTCTTGCTGGCAGGTGTTAGAACCTGACCCTGCTCAGTCTACTCCCATCCCTGGCTCATGCAAACATGGAGGTCTGACAGCCTAGCTTGGTATGACCTGCGCTCCAACCTGGTTGGTCCACACTTGGTGATGCGGCAAAGACTGCTTGGCCCTGCCCAATCTGCTCCTTCAAAAATCAACCTACACATCTGCCAACATGTGGTGCCACCTTGTCCAGCCTATCCAGACCCCAGGCCTGGACCCCATGCTTACCACTAGGCGTTATGACCCACTAGGCAAGTTTCTGTGTTCCCTGACTTGGCCCACTCCTAGACCCAGATCTCACGCATGCCAGCAAGAGTTAGGTCCTTGTAGGCATATCAGGCCCCTCCATCTTGTCCTTGTATGAGCTGGTGAATGTTGTATCCTGGGCCACCACACAACTTGTTTTA